CTCAAATAGGTCAAACCATAGATATTACCTAAGAAGTGCAAGTAAATGTGCTAGAAATCTGTGCTCATTCAAGTATATGTGCATTTATTGCATGGACGGAGAAAGCACTGACACCCGCAGGATTTCATCTGACGGTGTAATGGATCCACTGAAGGCAAGTTGTAAGAAACATGAATGTGACGCTTACCAACAGTGGTTACAGGGAAACAAAATTTCACAAAGACACATGGCAAACATGAGGGCATAAATGCACACAAGACTAACGACAAGACAAGGGACACCTGTGAACAATGAATCAATGATAACATGACAAGACAAAGTAACAATACATGAACAAACCCAAACCGTGACAGACGGTAAATAAGAAAGTCTATCTGTTCTCTGAGAGCAACAGTACTGAAGAACGAGTGTAGCCTCTATATAGATGTTTTTTAAATCTGAAAACTCCAAAAAGCAACAAAATTGTCAGGCATCCATGACATGAGTGCATTTTTTTTTTATATAGATCCCTATATGGAACCCTGTATCCCTATATTCCATTTATATGGAAGTGACTCTCTTTTGGAGCCTGTCTAGCAGTCAGTTTATGAACTGCAGTTTAAGTCACTTAAACGGGGAGGTTATCCCTTGCATGAAACCAGGAGATATTTAGAAACCAAATAAATTTAAATGTTTAGTGGCACTTTATTTGAATGTGTCCTTGTTTACAGTGTAATTGCACAAATAAGTACTGAATAATATGGACTGCGTTTAGGTTTAGGGCTGTGTTAAGTTTTGTAATTATGTGTAATTTACTGTTATTACTGGCAAATATATGTAAAATGTAACAAGCAGACAAAAATAAAATGTTTATTTTAACCTTTGCAAATGGATTTGGTACTGAATTGAAACCAGTGAGCCCTATAAGAGAATGCTGATAAGAATTACTTTTATGTTCTCCAGTCAAAACGTTTTATCAAATCCCTAAAACCTACAAAGTACAACTCCAACACTTGCTTAATAACAATCCTACAGCATTACTTGTGACAAACACAGGACCAGAAATGATGGTTCTGTCACTGTGCTGTCTAGAGCTGTCAATCAACATCACGATCATTGATGAGCCCCACTGAGCTTCTGAGCGGTTCTGCCAATCAGCTGATGGACGAGCTGAAGCTCAGGGCGCCGTCGTGTAATCGTCACTCACATCTGGAAATAAAGGAAACTTACTGTGCACACTTGTTTTTGGAATAGACACAAGTCTCGGAGATCTAAATGTTCAACTCCTTATGACATATGCATTCAACATAACCTACAATGGTTAATTGTACATAGAAGTAGTAGTTTATTTAACACTAAAAAAGTAGTTTGCAGCAAGCTCATGCAGACATTAAAAAAAAAACAAAAAAAAAAAAGCAAATAAATCTAATTTAGGATAACCAGACCAGCTGACCGTCAATCAACACTAGAAGAAGAGTTTAAAAATTGTATTGCTTGGGGGAAGATAAGTTTGCATTCAGTGTCAAGATGTAGTCATGCATAATAATCATAAAACAATCACCTCCCTTCATGGCAGTGCTGTCCCCCGTCGATTGCCACCCTGTAGTTATGCTCATGACTGTAGCGGACATGACAAGAGGAAGACAATGTCTTCTCTATTTTAAGGCCAATCCACTCACCCAGAAACCTGTTTCTTCTACAGCAACTCTGAAAGAACAACTTCTTTTTTAGAGAAATGCTCTGGAGATTTTTAGCATGCCAAAGTTTAGTCCACTTTAGGATACTTTTAAAAAGGGTATGTGTGACGGGAATAATATAGTTTATACTAAGTGAGAACTGAATGTAATGTTACCATCACAGAGAGCAAATCCCTGAAAACTCATCTCTTCCGTGAGCACTTAACATAAGTAAAATAATAATAATAATTTGTTCCTTTTCCTTTAAATTCTCGCTTATCTCCGAGCAGTGTCTGAACTTTGTATTTTGAGCACTTCTTGCGTTGTTTTTGCATCTTCACGATGACTCATTTGGTTAAAAGCGTCTGCTGAATGACTAAATGTAAATGTTTTTGGAGACTTAATTGCTCGTTATTTGCAATTAAATGTAAATGTTTTACAATATTACATGCAATTATCTGAATTTAAGAGTGCCTTTTTGACCCACTTAAGTATGACTTAAAAAGAATACATATTTATATACAATTTCGTAATTGTCTCATTTGAAAAATTTCATAATTTCATAATTGCCAAAATATGGTTAAAAATGTGGACTGTCAAATGTACAAGCACTTAAATAAAATATAATTTAATGCCCATTTTGTGCTATGCATTTATGTGCAATTACACATTTGTAATGACCAATTTGCAATTTAGTATATTTAAAATATATTTACTTCTGAATAACACTTCAATTGAAATTATATTCAAGTACTTCTCATGTGCTTTAGTAGTCTATGTTAGTCAACACATCAAAAACAAGTGCACTTCTTTAAAGCATGACAAACTATTATTAAAACATATTTGACATATTACAAAGTGTGGATTTTAAAAGTGTAGTTAAGTGTGTAAACCCTCCTATTATCCTTGGGGTCAATTTGACCCCATTCAATGTTTAACGTCTGTAAAAACATAATTCTATTTAATTTTTTTGTTTCAGATTTAATGACTTTTCCTAATTTAATGGGGACAATTTTGTAAACATAAAATTAAACTGCTAATATTTTTTCAAAGTCCTGTACACATTTTGTAGCATCGGTGTTCCTTGGGGTCAATTTGACCCCAGGCTCTTTTAGATGTATAATAAAACAGAAGAAATATTAAAATTTCCCACATATTTCTTTAGGTTGTTTTATTGAGGTCCCTATAACATGTTATAATTTGAATTTATAATGTTCATTGTAATTTTACATATTCAATATCATATTCAAAAAAACGTCCCTCTGTTTTAGGGCTCTAACCAAACAGAATCATATCAGTAGTATTGCGAGAAGTAGTAGTTCACACATGACATGTGATATAATTCTCAAGAGAACTAATAATTCTTTCCTGTGCCATGGGGAGGGGATAACATCTGTAACGGTTACCAGCTGGAGTGCCCTATTTATCCACCAGAGGGCACTCCAGATAAGACTAGGTTTCACACGAACTCCATTTCCCATAATGCCCCGTACCTAGGTCTAATCACCAACACAGGTGTTCCTCATTTACCCCTCCATATAAGCTGCTCTCTGACTCTCAATCAGGGCGAAGTCTTGTTTTGCCCTGGCAACATTTCTGAGCGTTTTCCCTGTGATTATCTGGTTTCTCTGGTTATCGACCCTCGACTGTTCCTGGACTTTGATTCTCTGTTTGCTGCCTGCCCCGACCCTTGCCTGTTATCCCTGGATTCTGATTGTTGCCGCCTGTCCTGACCTCTGCCTGGTATTGTTTATGCTCTGGATTTCCTGCTCTATATTGTATGCCGATCGTTGACTTCTGCCTGTCTGACTATTCTTAATAAATATAACTGCACATGGATCTGCACGCTTCTGACTCTTCATGACAGAAGACTTCGCCGACACAAGATCCAGCAGCCATCATCGTCATGAATCCAGCAGTCAAGCTTATGCGTCTCCGTCAAGGAGATCATTCCATTGAGAATTATGTTGCTGACTTTTTAGAGCTGGCTCACCTGACCTGCCTAGATGAGGTATGCTTAATGATCTTTTTTCGTGGAGGACTATCTGAACCGCTCAGTTCGTTCATGCCCTTGCATGATCCTCACGGGACTTTAGAGCAATACATTGACCTGGCTCTTCTGTTGAGCGGATCATCTTTTACTGTGGGCTTTGAGGAGAAGGCCGAGGGGGCGTTCCCAGAGACCGTCCAGCCAGAGACCGTCCAGCCAGAGACCGTCCAGCCAGTGACCGTCCAGCCAGTGACCGTCCAGCCAGTGACCGTCCAGCCAGTGACCGTCCAGCCAGAGACCGTCCAGCCAGAGACCGTCCAGCCAGTGACCGTCCAGCCAGTGACCGTCCAGCCAGAGACCGTCCAGTCCGAGACCGTCAGCCCTGCCGAGCCTGCACTTCACTCAAGCCTCGCGAGTGATGAAGCTCCAGTTCAAGTGAGTCATCATGAGTCTTCAGTTCATGTGATTGAATCTTCAGTTCAAGTGAAACGCCGCCGCAGGAGGAGAAGGAGGGCTCGTTCAGTTCGCCAGGCTTCGGTGAGCTTACCAGGACTCCTCGCCCTGCCGGCCCCGCCTCTGCGCCTCGCCCTGCCGGCCCCGCCTCTGCGCCTCGCCCTGCCGGCCCCGCCTCTGCGCCTCGCCCTGCCAGCCCCGCCTCTGCGCCTCGCTCTGCCTGTGCCTTTCAAGCTCTGTTCAAGCTGTGCCCTTCAATTCCCTGTGGACTTCTCCAAGTATTTTTTGGGGGGGGGCAGTAGGTACCTTGTGAGGGCCATGGAGGCGATACAGACATGGCCTTCATTTCGTCCTGCTCCGCCGTGGCCGCCTGAGGGGTCTTCACCGCCGTGGCCGCCTGAGGGGTCTTCACCGCCGTGGCCGCCTGAGGGGTCTTCACCGCCGTGGCCGCCTGAGGGAGCTTCACCGCCGTGGTCTCCTGAAATGTCTTCACCGCCGTGGCCGCCCGAGGGGTTCTCACCGCCGTGGGCAGCCGAGGGGTCTTCACCGCCGTGGTCGCCTGAGGGGTCTTCACCGCCGTGGCCGCCTGAGGGGTCTTCACCGCCGTGGCCGCCTGAGGGGTCTTCACCGCCGTGGCCGCCTGAGGGGTCTTCACCGCCGTGGCCGCCTGAGGGGTCTTCACCGCCGTGGCCGCCTGAGGGGTCTTCACCGCCGTGGCCGCCTGAGGGGTCTTCACCGCCGTGGCCGCCTGAGGGAGCTTCACCGCCGTGGACGCCCGAGGGTCCCACAACTCCGCCCTGGTCACGTCCACAGCCTGCTCTGCCCTGGCCATGCCCACATTTTGCTTCGCCTTGGAAGCCCGAGGGTCCGACAGCGCCGCTCTGGTCTTCGACTGCTCCGACCTGGTCGCCTCCACAGCCAGCTCCGCCACAGTCTCCAGGTCCTCTTCCGCTCCACGGGCCTGGTCCTCCACATTTCTCCTGGACATTGTAAGGAGCGTCTGGAATCCGCTCCTTAAAGGGGGGGCTATGTAACGGTTACCAGCTGGAGTGCCCTATTTATCCACCAGAGGGCACTCCAGATAAGACTAGGTTTCACACGAACTCCATTTCCCATAATGCCCCGTACCTAGGTCTAATCACCAACACAGGTGTTCCTCATTTACCCCTCCATATAAGCTGCTCTCTGACTCTCAATCAGGGCGAAGTCTTGTTTTGCCTGGCAACATTTCTGAGCGTTTTCCCTGTGATTATCTGGTTTCTCTGGTTATCGACCCTCGACTGTTCCTGGACTTTGATTCTCTGTTTGCTGCCTGCCCCGACCCTTGCCTGTTATCCCTGGATTCTGATTGTTGCCGCCTGTCCTGACCTCTGCCTGGTATTGTTTATGCTCTGGATTTCCTGCTCTATATTGTATGCCGATCGTTGACTTCTGCCTGTCTGACTATTCTTAATAAATATAACTGCACATGGATCTGCACGCTTCTGACTCTTCATGACAACATCATATTTGCGAGATCTTTGATGTTTCCCTTGCCATGGGGGAGGGGAAACATAATTTTTGCGAGATTGACCCCAAACACAACTCGTGTTACTATCCTTGATAAAATAAATGATCTTTCCAAATGTTATAGATTACAAAAATCTGTACTTAGAAATATTATAAAACAAATAAAACACCAGATATATTTCTACTTTTCCAATTTTAGTTCAATCAGGAGGATTTTATGTTGATTTGTAAATTCGTCCATAGTCGTGCAAAGGGTATTCTGGACGTATAAGGGGTTATGTGGGGCGGGGAGGAGGGTGGTGGGTGGATGTCAACTTAAAAGATTACTTAAATAGTCAGCAAAGGCATAAATTAACTGAGACAAACCTTTAAAAAAACAAAAAAAAAAACCCATCATATTGTGGAGGTTTAAATTACTGGGGTCAAATTGACATGAGAAACCCATTATAATCGGTGATGCTGTCTACACCGGATGCAGTGCGACACAAGTTTCCAAACGGTAAATGTACGGCCTTTTCTTCTTTCAAATTGACCCCAGTGGGTAAAAAGTGTTATCAGATTTGAGGGTAACAGGAGGGTTAAGAAAGATAGGGCAACACTTTATTTTATTGTGTACTTGTTACACATTACATGCAGTTACTATAAATTACATGCAACTAACCCTAAACCAAACCCCAATTCTAACCCAAACCGTTTAGTAAGTACATTTTTATTACTCTACTTCAATGTATAATTGCACTGTAACACGGATACCTTAAAATAAAGTGTAACTAAACGGTAATTACATTGCTCTCTTTTAGTGCCCTTTTATTTCATTATATAATATGCAAGTGCAATGAGATTAATGCTATTTTGAGTCATGAATGACGAGTCAACTGATGCTGATTGTGACATTTTATTCTTTCTTTCTTTCTTTCTTTCTTTCTTTCTTTCTTTCTTTCTTTCTTTCTTTCTTTCTTTCTTTCTTTCTTTCTTTCTTTCTTTGGTGGGTATCTAGGGCTTCAAGACAGAATCATCAATTAAAGCCACTCTAAATATTTGCCTATGTCTCATGAGAAGTAGAAGCAGTTTTCTCTGTTGAAATCGCTGCATAGTGTCTAGCTCAGTGGAGATGCGACTGATGCAAAATTATTCATTATGAAGTTAACAAGCTCTCAGCTTTCACAGACACTCTTATAAATAGATGTGTCTTAAAAGTGGCAGGCCTCCTTCATCAACGGCACTCTGCCTGCCCTGGTAAACACATTTAGAAGAGATTTACCCATTCTTGCAGGCTAATTTAGTCTAATCTTTATGGTATCAACATTATAAAAAAATGACACGTCTATACTTAAACATTAAAATGAAAACATCATGATTATTGATAGCCATGCTGAAAGAGGATGGGCTTTGTTTCTGTCTGATTAAGTAACAGCCAACTGAATTTAATTAGTTTACCTTTGAACTCAAACCGCTGATTAATTCCATTTAATTATCCGGACCTTATCAACAGTAAGCTCATTTTACTTGCTTTTAAAATGCACCATTCAATTTCTTAATTGCACATTCAAACAAACAATCCTCAAACTTTAACTAAATGATCATCTGAAGAATGGATAATATTGTGGATAATAAGAGACGGCAAAGGATTATCATCTTGTTTGTAAAACCCTTTAGAACTTTAATTGTCTGGTCTGAAAATGGTCAGATGTATGTACAATTGCCTTATAGAGTCTTATTTATAAATGTCCCCAAATATCTGTCTACATGCAGGATGAAGACTGAAAGGTATCACAAACAGATGTTTAAGAAAAATACGTATAGCTTATTATTCTATGCCATGCCATATCAATCATATACTATAGATAGATAGTGACAATAATTTAACGGTAACACTTTACAATAAGGTCCATTAGTTAACTACATTAGTTAACATGTACAATATGTGAACAATACTTCTTCAGCATTTATTAATCTTAGTTAATATTAATTCCAACATTTACTAATACGTTATTAAAATCAAAGGTTGTATTAGTTAACATTAGTTAATGGACTGTGAACTAACATGAACGCACCATGAACAGCTGGATTTATATTAACTAACATTAACAAAAATTAATAAACACTGTAACTAATGCATTGCTCATCGTTATTACATGTTAGTTAATGCATTTACTAATGTTAACTAATGAACCTTATTGTAAAGTGTTACCAATTTAACAATACAGGCTAAATGGAAAGTTTTTGCTGCAGCATACGTTAATGTGTGCCTAAATGTAAATGCTGCCTACATTCTTAGGAAAAAAAAGGTTAATTGGGGTTCTATTCTATGTATCAAGCATAGGGTTCTTTACTCAACTACAAAGAACCTTTCATGCTAATTAAAAAAGGTTCTATAATGACAAGAAAGAACCCTTTTGGCACAAAGGTTCTTTATAGGCTATTATTCATTCATATATTGCATTATTCTGCAACATTTTGTAGTTGTAATTAAATTATTGTTTATTAAACTGTTGTAGTAACTAAATATCACATCTTAATCATGCTGATTTTTGGAGGAGAAAAACTGAAATGGCACTCTTTGTGTGATATTGATTAACTACATAAAATGATATAAATATATACATTTTCTAACCCCCATATCTTGAATTTTGTGATCATTCACAAATACATTTTAGGGTCTTGATGTTTGTCAATAATATGAAATATTTAATCCGGAAAGGACAAAACAAATGACAATGAATGAACCCAAAAGGTTCCATACAGAACATTTTTCCAGGTTACAAAGAACCCTAAAGGGTTCTCATTATTGTGTTACTGTATAGAACCTTTTAGAGGTTTCAAATACGTAGCGCTGATATAACCTTTTAAGGTTCTATATAGTACCTTTTCTTCTAAGAGTGTACACTCTATATGTCAGAATAAAAAATAAAACTAAAATATAGTGTAACAAGTTGGCAAACTATTTTCACTGAAACTTATTACCAACAGACTGTTATGACCCTTAAAATAACATTCATTGCCCAGTGTGTTCAGTTGTTTCAATAAGACAATTTTATTCGAAATACGAATTTATTGTATTAAACACGATGATTTAATCTTGCTAAACAACAAATAATTAATGCGTGCAGAGCTTACAATGTGCTTTACAGAGATGAGGTCCATAACAAAATAATCAATATGTGGGCATATACATATTTCCTATGACAAATGTAACGACTCCATGCCTGTATCTGATTTGAGATCTGAGTGGTTCATCTCCTAAATGTCCGCTTGAATGAACAGTGGAAAGGCGTGTGCGCAAAATGGAGACAGTGCGTTCAGTTGATCTCTACATAATAGTTTATTAGCCGGCCAAATAACACTGTGTGGTGGTTTTTAAAGAGGCCATCGAAACACATGTCCATCAGGTGGTCCACAAACTTAATTTTTTTTTAATTTTATTTTTTTTTATCATAATCCTCATCGTGTCTAGTACGCACCCACGATGACCGCCTCTACTTCTTTGGAGGGTCTCCGGTCCGTTACCAAAAAGTTGATCATCCCTTCCGACTTGATGAGCAAGTTACAGCCAAGGAAAAAGATCCCGAAGACTACGGTGAGGGAGAGGACGCACATCACCGCTATCTGAACTATTCTCATGATGAAGAGGCTCCTTTCATCCGGAGGGGCCGCCGTGAAGCCGTTATCCGTCACCACGGACGAGAAGTTACAACACAAGAGGATGTCCTCAGTCCGGTTGGAGAAGATTCCACTGTCCGTTTGGTTAAACGTAGTATTCATGTCTACTGTTTACCAACACTTTGAAGAGTCCAAGAATTTAGGCAGTTCCGATTTGGAAGTCTGGACACATGAGGAATTGCGTAAAAAGTGTCCGTAAAGTCAGACGCACATGTCCAATGTCTGTTCTTTAGCGCACTGGCGTCCCATGACGCGCTCCTGCTCTGATTCACAGTAACTACACTGAGCTCTTCTGCTCAACATCACACACCTGCTCGGTTAAAAGCACCGAAACAGCCGATGGGAGGTGACTCCCCAGTCCCCACTCACATGTGCATGACTTGTGACGCCACCTACAGTAAAACTTGTAGTGTTACAGTCCTCCGATTAAAAAGATATATAAAACGTATACATTTAAAAGCCATATGTGGATCAGTGATAATTCTCGAGATGATGGTCAGAAAATAATAATAAAAAAAAAAACTATTATAGGCCAACTATAGCCATGTGAGTTATTTTGATGTGTCTTTGTATTCCAAATGTTTTTAATCATATTATTTGTGGGGAAAAAAATAAATAAATGATCATGTCATTCAATTATCAAAAATAGGCTAGCATCATTTTAAAAGAACGTTTAGTGCACTACACTGCGTAATACTGACATCTAGCGTGTCGATAAATAACTGAAAACAGGACTTTGATGTGACACTCTCCGTGGCAACGACAAAGTTAACAGTCAAGTAAAAAAGCAACATTATGCCTAAATTTATTGAACAGGAG